GATTCCAGGCCGCTCTCATATCCTTGTAGAAGGCGGCCGGGGAGAAGTTCTTCTCGGTATGAACCCTAGCAAGGGCTAACCACCGCACGCTTCCTTGGATCACCGGATCCTCCTCATCGATTTCCACATCGTTGAATTCCTCATCGTTCAGATCTAGTTGGTCGAAGAAGTCCTCCAGGACAGGGTTCGCGGGCGCCGAGGCGCCGCCGCTCGTGGCTGAGTTGGCGTCCGAGGAGGCCATCAGGACACGACAGGAAGATTACAGGGATCGACGGGGTGCCGATTGGTGTGGATTGGGTGGTAAGACTCTAGGCGATCAGATCGCCATAGAGGAGACAAACCCTAGGCGAGAAGCGTAGGGCTTTTTTGTCCAGAGAAGTATTGGTAGTACGTCCGTACGTGTCCCGTGGCGCGTCGAGTGGGAAACGAAACAGAGTGGGGCAAATTTTCGTGTTTTGGCCCTTTTCTGAAACCTATTCGACATTTGACCCTAGTTTGAAATTTTTTCGAGATCTGACCCTTTTGCTACCGCGAGTTTCCATGGCGGTAGGGTCTAACAGCCTACCGTTAGAGACTTTGGCGGTAGGAAACATCGCTACCGTCAACCAGACTGGCGGTAGTCTGCATAACCCTACCGCTAAGGTGCTTGGCGATAGGCACGAGCACGCACTGTGTTCAATATTTAGGAGGTTTTAACGGTAGGGCATGCAACCCTACCGCCAGAGACCTTGGCGGTAGGCTGTTATACCCTACCGCCATGGTCTCTGGCGGTAGCAAAAGGGTCAGATCTCAAAAAAAAATTTAAACTAGGGTTAAATTTTTAATAGATTTCAAAAAAGAGTCAAAACACGAAATTTAGCCACATAGTGGCTGGCAATGGCATATATGATCTTCGTACGAACGAACAGTGAGCCACCGTGCATGCATCATGCATGTCAGTTGGCTGAATTGAGCTCAGAGGCCACAGGCACCATCTGCTGCTGCGCTTCGGGCCTCACGGGAAAATAGTCGACTCACAGGAAAAGTACGATTTCTGGTAGTGTGCTGCAGTTGCTTTGTTTTGTATGCCGCCGGTGGTTCGTTTCGCGAATGAAAATGATACACTTATGGGCAACTTTCACGGGAAGCTGGCTACGCGCTGACGTGCCAGAGCAAGAGAGCGATGTGAGCCGCAGTTCACGCAAAGTGAAAAGTTCAGCGCCAATCAACTGGGACGAGATTTGCAGCCGTAGGATGAAGTGGGAGCACGGATGGGAGCATAGAGAGGGAGCAGGTAAGCCGGATCCGAGACCCGGCCGCCGCGCCGGCCCTCGGCGTGCGCGTGCTACGTGGCCAGATGCGTGGCAACATAGAATCAACCATGCACGCGTCACCCAAAAGGTCGGGCCGATGTTCTGATCTCATTCAGATACTATCACAGGTGTTTAGTGTTCCTACTCGGATGCTTGTTTGATCAGCAGCGGTAACACACTCAATAGCTTCCAGAAGATGAACATGAATGCAAACGCTCTTTTCAAGTCACTCTCTTCCCCAAAGTATCACCTGAACTAGCTAAGCTAGCTACTACCCCTCTGTAAAGTAATATAAAATCATTCACTCACTCTACCCTTGAAAAAGTGTACTTTCCAACGACTTTTACATATTTGACGGTATTCACAATAATAAACCAATATTTATGCTGTCAAATTAGTATCATTAGATTCATGATAAAATATAGTTTCATCATATATCTATTTTATTTCACAAACATTGATATATTTTTTGCATAAACTCGGTCAAACTTTAAGATAATTTGAAGTCCAACAAAGTTGAGTGTGCTCACTCTTTCAAGGGCAGAGGGAGTAGATCACTAAAGTAGTACTTACTACACACCTTTGTCTTGGCACCATGTCACATGCGATTCAACTACGCACCCCGATCGATCTGATCCGCCGTGACGCGTAGTCAGAGCATCTACAGTCGGGCGCCCCAAAGCCCCTCTATAGACCCGGGCTCCTCGTACCAGCCTCAAAGTGCCTGGTTCGACAGGCACCCCTCATATCCATCCTATATCTAGGGCGGATATGGAGAGCCTGGGCGCATTCGCCGCCGTTGGACATGCATGTGCTACTAGATCCGCGCCTGGATGGCGATGAAGGAGTTCGGCTAATGGATTTGGGTCGGGGTGGTCCGGCAATGAAATTTGTGTCTTGACCCGGGAGCAGCGGAGCACGAGCTGGAGGGCTTTCTCCTCCTCGTCTGAGCAGACCACAAGCTCCCAGTCGACGTTGTTGCTGGATCCGGATCCACAAGCTCAGATCCGTTGCTCGGCATGGAGAAGATGGATAGAGATGATCGGAGAGGAGCGGAGAGCGGACTAGAAGCAAAGTGAACAGTGAGAGAAGTGGTTAGGGTTTGATCCAATGTAAGGGTAGAAATGGAATTTTGTGGCATGAAGGTGGGCTAGTCAGGGCCGGTCCGATGTTGCAAACGCGTTCGGGTGGCCTCAAATCCACGCCGGGGGGGGAGGGGGGGGATGGAAACGGTGTGCCGGACAATTCAGACATATGAGGGGGTTTCGTTGGGTGAAGATTTTCTATGTGGGTTAGGTTGTTCGGTCGGACAAACGAAAACGACAAAAGGAGGGTCTAGTTGGAGATATTTCAGACTTGTTTGGTTTGTGACTATGGTTGCCACATATTGCCACACCTAAACTTAGGCAACTTTGACCAACTTAGAAGGGTGTTTAATTCAGGCAATATACTTTTTGCCACACTAGGGCCCCACATGACATACACTCAAAAGTGTGGCAAGATTCTCTTAAGTTTACCAACTTATGGCTCTCATTTTGAAGAACTAACCTTAGCCAAATGCGGGAAGAAATTTGTGGCAAAATATGGCATTCATAGCCTAGAACCAAACAGCCCCTTCGCATATGATCCTGTACCGGCAGGGAAGGCAGGTCGTCCAGCGCGTCAAGCTGGTGCTAGAAAAGAATGGACGTTAGATTTGGAAAACATGGGGTGGAGTTGGAGATCATATCACTCATCGCTGCAGTGCCAACTGCTAAGTGTGTGCTGACGCCGAGTCCTCGACGTCTAGTCAAGAACGCGTCAACCTCGCCCGTGGCCATGGAGAAGAGAAGTAAAGCCGTTACATAAATAAGCGCCTACCCTACAACGTGGCGCTTATGTTGCATGCATGTCTCCCAGCTCTCACCTCTCACGCGGCGCGACATGCACATGCATGCAATGCAACGGGGGCCGGCCGCGGCCGTGTCCCGTACGGGAAAAAAATTGGGTGGAGACCGTCTCCACGGATCCTTCCCTGCGTACCTGACGTGAGATTGTGCCACCTGTCCCATGTTTGCATCCCACGGCATCCGCTATAGCGCTCCTTTTTTCGGCTTGTTCCTTCACTCCCGGCGCTTCCGCTCGGCTCGATCGGTACTTGTTATATCGGCTCACGAAACTGAAGACGATCCCCCATCTGGTTCCACGCTCAGCGGACAGCCAAGGCCGAGCAACGCCGGCGGAGCGGAGTGGCGGCGACAGTATAGTGGCCCGTGTGTGTCCGTGGGATAGCTGCTTGATTTGCCGGCGTCAGAAGATCCAGATCAAACTGGCAGCCGCCGTGGCGGCCGTAGTTGGACATGGAGGGGCCCCTGCTGGCTAACGGCGTGCAGCGCCAACTCGGCGAGTATCGTGCGTGCATGGCGCCGGAGTGCTCTCGTGGCCATGAGCTCGCCGGATTTGATATCCGTGTGCACCCACTCGTTTGTAAACCAACAACTGAATGAATTCGTTTCCCGATTCAGAAAAAGAGCAGCTTTTCACCGATGAACCAGCACCTTGCATAATAGTTTGATTTTCTAGCCTTTCGGTGTAGCAATTTTTTTGTCAATGGGCATCACAATTGTAATACCCTCTCTCCCTAGAGCATGACTGTATAATAGTCCAACGAGTATAGTTTTCAGATTTCAACTATGTTTGATATCACACTGTATTTCTATTATCAGTAAGCAAAAATATGTTCCCTTTTTTGCAGCAGTTGTTCATGTAAGTTTCTTGGATAGCATTGTTATATGCTCTATGCTGCCGGCAACTTGTTTGTGTTCCACAAAGCCTCCTGCAGTTTAGATGTCAGAGTTTTCTGAACTTCTCTGAATTATAATTGATGCACTAATAGTTCTTTCTTCAAGCCGATGCGAAGTACTTGAGCCGAGAAACGTACGTACAGGAGCGGATGAGAGGATAGCGTCAGATGAAGAGCAGGGACAGATGGCGACAGATTAGAGCGGGTACGCACAGTCGGGGGTTTGGAGCCCGTCTCCACCCAATTTTTCCCCCCCGTACGTGCTGCTGCTCCGTGTTACTACGATCGATGTTGTGTGAGGATTGATTACGGGGTTGCTTCCCGTCCTGACTTCCTCCCTTGTACTCCCTCCGTTCTAAAATAGATGACCCAACTTTATACTAAAGTTAGTATAAAGTTGGGTCATCTATTTAGTATACGAACGTAGGCGAGTGCCGGGTGGGTGGCTGGCATGATGAGGGAGTTTAGCAAATTGTGATTAGGCTTTGTTCAGTTGTTCAGTGGAAATTGCTACCGAAATTGTGATCTTTGCGCGTTCCTTTCGCTCCTTGCCGATGAAGCAATCAAGTGAGGAAATTACGAGCGCTTGTTCAGTGGAAATTACAAGCAAAATTGTGATCTTTGTGCGCGCGTATGTTCAGTGGAATTACAAGCAAAATTATGACCTTTGCACGTAGGCGCGCGACCCACTCACTCTAGACTGCACCTGCCAATGTTCCTCGTCACGTCCAGTGGTCTCGTCTCCGGTCTCCCTCCATATATAGCCACTTGCATCCACCCCTCTGCTTCGTCATTAGCTCGAGCTTCATCTCGTTCGGTGAGATAGTGGCAGAGAGCCAGAGACGGAGAGCAACCAGTCGATGGCGCACGCGGGGAGAGCCAGCGGGGAGAAGGCGATCGCGAGGGAGCTCGTGCTCAAGGTGTCGATGCACTGCCTCTGCGACGGGTGCACGCCCAAGGTGAGCTCCGCCCTGAACAACCTCGCGCTGGCACCGGGCGTGGTGGCGGTGCTGGAACGGTCGGCGACGGAGGACACCGAGGAGGTGCGCCTGCTGGCAACGGCCGACCCCGAGCGCCTCCGCAAGAGCCTCCACGAGGCCACCGGCAAGAAGAAGGTCGACCTCGTCTTAATCCCGCCCAAGCCCAACAAGCAGGAGCGATCCGGCCGCTGGAACGGCGGCAAGGAGGACCCTCGGCTCGTCGACTTCGACGCGGTCCAGGGGCTGCTCGCCGACCCGCAGCTCCACGACCAGGCGCCGCCGCCGGGCCATACTTGGTACGGGAGCAGCTATGTCGAGGGGTACCCTCCTCCGGTGACGCCCTACTACCCGGGCCCGCCGCCCCCTGCCTGGGCACCAATACCATACGGCCAGCCTTTTCCGGCGACGGCTCCGCCTGGCCCCTACGTGCCCAGCGCGCCGTGGTGGACCGGCGGCCCCAGCGCGCCGTGATGACGAGACGACGACACGACACGACCGACTTACATATATACGTATACACTTATGTGTGCCAGCAGCTATAATGGCTGATCGATCATTACTAAGTCAATACTATGTCTACGTGCTAGTATAGTAGCTAGCCAGAATAAGCCTGTATATTTGGTAAGTTCCGTATACGTAAGTGTGCAGATCGTTGAGACTATACACTCTATACTGCAGTGCAGACTCTCATTTTATTTATTACTCCTTCTGTAAATTAATATAAGAGCGTTTAGATCATTAAAATGTCGTTGCCCTAGCTAGCTAACCTAGGACGATATACGCGGCATTGATCCGAGAAAAGGCAGGTCCTGAACATGGCGCCACGACGTCACTTGCATTTCAGTGCACACCGCCATCGCTCGACCGTGACACGTTCGTATGCGCGCTGTGATGGTGACCGACTATAACTAACTATTTCCTCCAAGTAGCTTTCGCAAGAAGAATTAAGAAGCAGCAAGCGGGGAGCGCGTGGGAGGAGAGGTGCAGGCTCCCTCAAAAAAAGCTAGTCAGTCAACCACGGCTCGGCTCACGGCCGGGTCTCCGACCCACGGAGAAAAAAGGAACATGCATGCGCTGCGCCCGGGACCCCAACAAAAACAATGCCTCCGCGGTGGTGGTGTATCATCACGCGGCGCAACACATGCATGGCCGGCCCGATCGATCCACGACTCACAATGCATGTAGCCCGGGTCAACGTGCTGCGGCTCCGGGTGATACGTCCTAGTGCCCTGGTGAGGAATTGCGCGGTTCCTTCTAGCTACGTGCCTCCTCCATGTGGCTGTGGCCTGTGCCTGCCTCAAGTTTCTACTACGTACTCATCATGCATCCATCCTGCTTTTTGGTGTTGGGAGAAGCATGCAATGCACGACGCGCAGGAGGGAGGGAGGGAAGGAAGGATCCACCCAATTCCCCTCCCCTCCTCCGCTTGGCTTTGGCCAGAAAGCAAGGGCAATGCTTGGACGGTCGGCCGGTCGGTGCCACAAAAAGGATCCATCATCCTTCCCAAATTCACAAGACAGGGGACGCGTGGTTTTGCCGTCCGTCCATCCGTCCGTGAGAGTACAGTCAAGTACGCGAATGAGCCGACCCAATTACTATAGACACATCAGCGTATAAGCGAGATACAGTCGCCGCGGTACCACATCTCGATTGGCATTCATGCACGCATGCGTGGTTTGTGTCTACCAGACCCATCACATGGGCCGAACGAACGGTGTACAAAAAATAAATTTGAAATGGTGTACTCCCTCTGTTCACTTTTATAAGGCTTTGTAGACGTTTCAGACAGTGTGCAAAACAGCACAATTTCACTTGTCTGAAACGACTTATAAAAATGAATGGAGGGAGTACCAAATAATATCATTAAACAAATTTACCATGGAAATGTTCAAAAAACAGATTTGCAATGGTGTACAAAACATAATTAACAATGGTTTGTTCAACCAGTTTTGCATGTTCAAAAACTTAAATTTGCCATGGGGCCAAAATTAGATTGCCACGGCCAAATATATAAATTTGCCATGATAGATAACAAAAAGTAATTTGCCATGGCAACTAAAAATTACCCGGATTGTTCAAAAAAATTGCCATGTATTGTTAAACAAAATAAATTAAAAATTAGCATGAATTGTTTAATAAATTTGGCATGTTCCAAGAAAAGAAAATTTCAATAGTTTTAAAAATAAAATTTGCTATGGTTCGTAAATGGATTCGCCGTCGTCTGTAAACAAAATTTGCCATGGCGCAAAAAAAGACCTTCTATGGTAAAATGAATTACATGGTCTAAAAAAATCATGCCAAATTTGATTGTCATGATACATTAGTTTCCGCACGACTGCATCCAAACTAGCGGATGCCATCTATTAAGGCGGTGCTTCTCTCTGGCCGCCTCGTCACCATCATGCACATCACCCCGCACTGCATCGAGATGCACAGCAAAATCCACATCCTCACCTTCATCCATGGACTGCCTCGCGCAACACTGGCCACCGATAAACCATAGATCTGGCCAGCACCCATGTCGCTCCGACTACCAGCAGTGTGATACGTTCATTTTGCATCATGCTTTTAAGTTGATATTTACTGCATTATGGGATGTTATTTCACATTATGGTACAATACTTATGCCTTTTCTCTCTTATTTTATAAGATTTACATGAAGAGAGAGAATGCCGGAAGGTCGAATTCTGGGTCGGAAAGGAGCAAATCTGAGATACCTATTCTACAAACTCCAAATATCCTGAAACTTTACGGAGAATGTTTTTGGAATATATAAAGAATATTGGGTGAAGAAACAACAGAAGGGGACCCACCAGGTGGCCACAAGCCTAGGGGATGCGCCCCCAGGGCTTGTGGCCCCCTGGCCATCGTCTAGTGCCCATCTTCTGCTATATGAAAAGTTTTGGCCTAGAAAAAATTACAAGGAAGTTTTCAGGACGAAGCGCCACGGTCTCGAGGCGGAACCTGGGAAGAAGCAATCTAGGGCTCCCGACGGAGCTATTCTGCCGGGGAAACTTCCCACCCGGAGGGGAAAATCGAAGCCATCGTCATCACCAACGATTCTCTTATCGAGGAAGGGTCAATCTTTATCAAAATCTTCACCAACACCATCTTCTCTCAAACCTAGTTCAACTCTTGTATCCAATCTTTGTCCCAAAATCTTAGATTGGTACATGTGGGTTGCTAGTAGTGTTGATTACTCCTCGTAGTTGATGCTAGTTGGTTTATTTGGTGGAGGATCACATGTTCGGATCCTTAATGATATTTATTACCCATCTGATCTTGAACATGAACATGCTTTGTGAGTAGTTAGATTTGTCCCCGAGGACATGAGAGAAGTCTTGTTATAAGTAATCATGTGAATTTGGTATTCGTTCGATATTTTGATGAGATGTATGTTTACTTTCCTCTAGTTGTGTTATGTGAACGTCGACTACATGACACTTCACCATGATTTGGGCCTAGGGGAAGTCATTGGGAAGTAATAAGTAGATGATGGGCTGCTAGAGTGACAGAAGTTTAAACCCTAGTTTATACGTTGCTTCGTAAGGGGTTGATTTGGATCCACATGTTTCATGCTATGGTTAGATTTATCTTAATTCTTTTTTCGTAGTTGCTGATGCTTGCAAGAGGGGTTAATCATATCTAGGATGCTTATCCAAGTAAGGACAACACCCAAGCACCGGTCCACCCACATATCAAATTATCAAAATAACGAACGCGAATCACATGAGCATGATGAAAACTAACTTGACAGTAATTCTCATGTGTGCTCGGGAGCGCTTTGCTTTATATAAGAGTTCGTCCAGGCTTATCCTTTGCTATAAAAAGGATTGGGCCAAATTGATGCACCTTTGCTACATTTTTTACTTGTTACCCTTTACGAATTATCTTATCACAAAACTATTTGTTACCGATAAATTCAGTTCCTGCAGAAAATACCTTGCTGAAAATCGCTTGTCGCTTCCTTCTGCTTCTCGTTGGGTTCAACACTCTTACTTATCGAAAGGACACGATTTATCCCCTATACTTGTGGGTCATCACGATTTCCTGACAACACTAGTTGCCACTGTCACCTTCACCGCAGGGCTCACCGCACCTGGTGGTTTCTGGGCTGACGACAACGGCGAACACATCGCTCGTACCAGTGGCGGAGCTAGGAATTTTGTGAAGCCTGGGAAAACTTGAGCCTAAGTATCTGGTCTAGAACAAAATTAGGTGTTACAATACACAACGTAAAAAATAGCTCCAAACATCTGAGTTTGGTCCAAAGAAGGGGAGAGAAGGGGGGCATAGCCCCCCTCGGCCTCAACATAGCTCCGCTAGTGTATATGAAGTCAAAATATAAACATAGTAGTCGTGCAAATGTAATTTTTAAGTAAACTAATATATAACATATTAGTTTCATCGAACAAAATAAAGTTGAGACTTAGACAACATAAGTCTTAGAATGAGGCCATGCATATGACCAAACCCCATAGGTCTCGGGGTCCCATCCACCCATCTACTATCGGTTTCCGGGCATGAGCCAAATCTAGAGCTTGGATTTGAATATTGCTTTGATCACCATGTTGCTAGAAAATTATAGTCATCCAAATTAGCTTCCAAACATCCTAGAAAATACTACAAGATAAAAAAGAAGGATTTGTAGTGCAAATGAAGTATGTGTTGTGACTTGTGAATGTGTTCAAAGTAAAGAGCTTTAGAGAATAGAGACGGTAAGATAAAACATACCAATAATATGCTAAAGAAAATCACGAGGGAAAATTCATTGTGGTAAGTGTGAGTGCTTGCTCTACTAACCAAATTTTACCATCTATGAAATTCAATAATTTCAAAATTGAAGTTAACATTTAACTATCTAAAACAAATCCATAAACCAAAGACTACACTTATGAGGTCCTGATCATCACCGCAGGCCAATTCCCCATCGGCTGGCTTCAAAATTTAAGCCCTAAATCTACCAATTTTCAAATCAGTTAGTGGTCTTAGCTGATCATCATAAAGGGGGTGAGATAACGAGTTGTCAAGGATGTAAGCCGTTCCTGAAAATGGATTCGCTCTACCCAGCACTTCCTCTACACCAAGGCCTGCCTCCGCTATCCGTCTCACAATACATACAAACAGACAACTAAAATGCGGACAAGGGTTGTGACTACTCGTGTTCCTCTCAAGTAATTATTCTGGAAGAAGCAAACTTAGCACCCCACGACTGTTGAACATTATGCTTGATATAGGCCAAGTTCTAAAAAAAGTACAAGTGTGAAAAAACAACTTACATAATATTCCACTCCATTATTATAAAAACATCCACTAGTATAAAAAGGGCCATTTGTCCCGGTTGATAAGGTCCATCTGTCCCGGTTGCGGAACCGGGACTAAAGGGTCGTTACTAATGCCCTTGGCCTTTAGTCTCGGTTCTTATACGAACCGGGACAGATGGGCCTCCACGTGGCCGCTGTGGCGAGCTCAGGCAGGAGGGCCTTTAGTCCCGATTGGTGGCACCAACCGGGACCAATAGGCATCCACGCGTCAGCTGTTCAGGGGCTAGGGTTTTTGTTTTTTTCTGAAAGGGGGGTGGATTTGGGGTTTTTGTATGGTTAATTAAGGTGTTTCATATATTGTGTTAGGTAGCTAATTAATTAATAGAGAGAAGTGTCCTCTCTTATCGAGAGAAGTGATCGATCTTTCCTTCTTCGAGAGATTGGTCGAACAACAAGTTTTCGTATTATCTATCCGACGCTACTGGCTACATACATATACAATATGTAAGATCTGTTACAATCCCCTAGTATCTGAAATCAAGTTCCACATGGTATTCTCCGGTTTTATTGATGACGTGGTCAAGAAAGAATCCCGCTAATTCCTCTTGAATTGCTTTCATGCGATCTTCTGGTAGGAGTTCATTCCGCATCTCCCACGTCTAATTTGAAGAAGGGGGTTAATACATATATATGAATGAAACTCAACATAAATGATGGTGTAATAAAATGAAATTGTGAATATTTTTGCTTACGCACATCAAATTGTCTTTTAGAGTAGCCCCGCTTATCTTTGCAAGTCGCGTTGTAGATGAACTCGCACACGTAGTATCCACAGAAATCATTCCCTTGTTCCTGCCACAAGCACTTTACGAGAAATAGAGGTCAATCAAACCGATAATGAAGCATTATAAATGGCATTGATGAAAGTAGCTAGAATCAAGGGGATCGAGATGCGCGGAACTAGCTAGCTAGTACTACTTACTTTCGGGTATGTCCATCGCAGCTCCCCCGGCAGTCCCGAAGCTTGTGCGGTGAATACTTTCCAAACCCTGCGAGACAAAGAAAACAATTACTTGATATCAGGAAATGAACAAAAAGTTGCCGATATGGTGCGATAATGATTGATTGAACTTACTTCTCGAGCATTTTAGTCATGTCCGCATAGGTCTCGGGAGATTTTCGTCTCGAGTCTAAGACGGTTACTAGTCCCTGCTCAAGCTTAATCTCCAGGAGAATATAGTGGAAGCTGCGCACACATGCATAACTCATCAATTACATTACTATAACCTCGCTCGAGTAATAAGAAAAACCGAATATGCACAAGACAGTAACACTCACTCGAAGTTATAAGGAAAGAGTATTTTATCTTTGTTTTGATTTACTATCAATGATTTGAGCAAGCTGGCCTCAGCATCATCGGCGTTCTTTTCAACCTTAAATTTATCTATGAGATTTGTGTTAATGAACCCAATATCATACATTTCTGCTTTTCTGCACTCGACGATCTTCAATCTGCACAATATAGGGAGGATAATCATATATACATGCAATGAAAGAGCTGAGCTATATACAGAGACTTAATGACAGAAGTAGTACTTACAGACAGTAGCAAGTGACCGTTAATTTATCGAGGGCCTTTTGATTGAACCACTGGAAGAACTCCTCAAATGGAACAGTCAACAAATCAATTCCAATGAGGTCGTGCTCCTCTTTAACTCTCAGATACAAAGTATTCGTCCCCCCAGACTCTCTGCAGGTTTTCATGTACCAATCATGGAATCTTCGCATCATCCTTGTTAGAGATTTTTCATCTTTGACAAGAGGCTTCCCGTAATGGTATTGGTGTTCTTCCACCTCCAAGAAATCATAATGTACATCGTCGGGCAGGTAATCTTCAAGATTGCTATAATCGGGCACCATCCCCGGATCATTGGCGACGATATCGCTAGACACCTTGAGCGGGGGCACGATTGGTCCGCTTGTTCGCCGAGCTGGGCAATTTTTTCCCAACTCGTTGCTCTGCTAACCTTCGATCACTGATAGTATTTCCCGACCGCTCCGCTTCGACATATACCTTTGTAGTAATGCGCTCATAGTTGGTTTTCGGCGGAGACTTTGGTGGTTTCCTCTGGGCATCGAGTGTGCGCTTTGCTTTCACCCGGTCTACCTTCTCCTCCGGAGGTGGATGTCTCGTTGCTTTCACCCCTTCAAAGAAGTCATTCACTTCTTTTTCCACGAT